GCACAGGTGAAGATGATGAAGACACACAGCAGGGAGGCAGAGAGGAAGATGCAGACGAATACAAAGACCTAGAGCAGTGGTTCTTACCATTTCTAATGCTACGGCCCTTTAATATAGTTCCTCATGTTGTGGCGATCCTTATTTTCGTTGTTTCTTCCTAACTATAATTTTGTTAATGTTGTGAATTGTAGTATAAACATCTGTGTTTTTTGGATGGTCTGAGGCGACCCCTGGGAAAAGAGTTGTTCAACTCCCCAGGGGGTCACGACCCACAGATTGAGAACCCCTGATCTAGAGCACATTTTTTTAGAGTCACAGTGGCAGGATCTGTTTATGGGATGTAAATGTCAAAGAGAACTCAAAGACCCTAGCTGCTGCAAAGCCTTGGGGATTGTCTTAGTCAATGTTCTATTGCTGTGAAGAGACATCATGACCACAGCAACTCTTATAAAGGAAAACATTTAATTGGGGCTGGCTTACAGTTCAGAGGTTAAGTCTATTCGTGGCAGTAAGCATGGCAGCACGCAGGCAGACATGGTACTGGAGAGTAGCTGAGAGTTCTACATCTGGGTCTGCAGGCATCAGGCAGAGAGAAAAACATTCAGCCCAGCTTGAGCATTTGAAACCAAAGTCCACCCTCAATTACGCACTTCCTCCAACAAGGCTACACCTACCCCAACAAGGCCACATCTCCTAATCCCTGTCAAGTAGCACCACTTCCTAATGACCAAACATTCAAATCTATGAGCCTATAGGGGCCGTTCTTAATGAAACCACCCTAGGGACGAACAGGTACGTGTGGGGAACGATGAGTTCAGCATTATCTATATATCTATCTATACATTATCTAATATATCTGTAAAGTTTAGACTGTCCTGCAGACATACACTTCTTTTTTTTTACGTTTTATAAAATCTTTATTGACAAATAATTCACATAGTATATGATTTGCCTGTTTGCACAATTTGATAGACTTTAGTCCAGCATCCTCATAGGCCCATGACACCATCACCACTTTCTATTTTAGAACATCACTGTCTTCAATTTCATACACACATATAATGTATGGTGATTACATTCCACCTTATTTTTTTAATGAACATAGTATTTGCAATTGTAACCATTTTTAAATTCACAATTCAGTGGCATGAATTACATTCAAGATATTAATTACACTCATGATATTCATTAATTACATTCATTATATTAATTACATTTGTGGCATTCATTAATTATATTCGCAGTATTCATTCAATAACTATATTTATGTTATTCATTAATTACATTAATTGTATTGATTTATTACATTCATGATATTATGTCCTGATACTACTGTCCATTTGTGGGGCTTTTCCATCACACAAAACAGAGATTCTATACTTAGGAAATCATTGCTCTATATTCCTTTCTTCTCCTTCTTGAGATAACATCTAATCCTTCTGTCTCTATGAATTTGTATATTCTATATATTTCATATAATACAATTCAGACATTCACTTCTTTTTTTTTTTTTTTTTTTTTTTTTGGTTTTTCGAGACAGGGTTTCTCTGTGTAGCTTTGCGCCTTTCTTGGAACTCACTTGGTAGCCCAGGCTGGCCTCGAACTCACAGAGGTCCGCCTGCCTCTGCCTCCTGAGTACTGGGATTAAAGGCATGCGTCACCACCACCTGGCCTTTTTTTTTTTAAAAAACTTTTTTTTTTTCCAGAGCTAAGGACCGAACCCAGGGCCTTGAGCTTGCTAGGCAAGCACTCTACCACTGAGCTAAATCCCCAACTGACATTCACTTCTTTAAATGCTTTCTAATCTACTCGTTTTAATTCAATGACGCTTCTTATTTCAGGATCTGGAAACTCCAAGTTCCTGCCTGTGGTTCTTGGACAGAGACCTCATATTTCTTCAACGTTGACAATGATACAGTATACATGTGAATCTGATATTGATATCAGATATATGATATTGATATCATACTGAATCTCATTTTGAGATGCCTCTCATTGTAATCAGCATTTATTTACCTTTACAGAGGACCACAGTGCATCTAGCTCACAGATAGAAATGGAAGGGACAAAGGAGACACAGAGGCATAGAGACAACTGGGCATAGTTTGCGACGTATGACCTTCAGCAAGCACTAATGATATCGAAGAGTCAGCATCGAGGCTTCTTTTTCTTATGTTTGAGCAGGCAGTGGATAAAGGAAGGGATTGCATGGAAGGAGGAATTCTGAGCAAGGGACAAAGCATACAAGTCTGATCCCAGAAGAGATGAGGGGACCAGTGTCTCCTAGCAATCTGATTAGGGAAACCCATGGGGGGGCAGCTCACATGACAAAGGAGATGAGGACATCTACTCAGGAGCCAGGAATCAGAGGATGGAGGAATCCTCCCTTAGTTGATAAGGATGCAGCTTACACCTACATGAAGATGTGGTTCCCAGAACAGCAGGTAAGAGAAGGCCTAGGCAGGAGGCAGGAAGTGGCTATCAAGGACTAGAGCAAGTATGCACAGGCTGTAATTTGGACGTGGGATGTGTTCCCAGAAGGCCAAGTTAAAAGTCTCGATCCCCCAGCCTACGGTGCTATTGGGAGATGGTGGAGCCTGGTGTGTGTGTGTGTGTGGGGGGGGGGGTGTTGGGTCACTGTGGTGTGCCCGTGAAGGAGGTTGTATGATTCTGGTCTGTTCTATTCTCTCCTTCCTCTAGGACAGTGGTTCTCAACATTTCTAATGCAGCCATCCTTTAATACAGTTCTTCATGTTGTGGTGACCCCCAATAAAATATTTGTTACGATTTCATGACTGTATTTTGCTACTGCTATGAATCGTAATGTAAATATCTAATTTGCAGGGTATCTGATGTGTGACCCTGTGACAGGGTCATTTGACACCCCTTCTCCCTTCCCCCCACCCCTTGGCAAAGAGGCCTCAACCCACAGGTTGAGAACTGTTGCTCTAGACAATCAGATAATTCTGTTTTCCATCCCCAAGGATGATGGCGATGACGTATTGCCTTTTCACAGACTGAGAAAAGCAACAACCCAACTATAGACTGAAAGCTCCAAAACCATGAGCCAAAACAAACCTTTCTTTCTTGTAAGCTTATTATCTGAGGTATTCTGTTACAGTAAAGGAAAGCTGATGAAGAGCAGATATAAACTAAAGCAGCCTCCAAACTTACAGATACAGATGCTCAAGACTAACACAGTCTACATTTCCTTTCCATAGGTTCTGGGTTTGGATTCCACCAACCACAAGGAAAAAAATATTCAGAAAGAAAATTGTGTCTATACCAGACATATGCACATATTTTTGTCACTATTTCCTAAACAGTATGCTATAAGGTCTATTTACATGGTATTTATGGTATATTAAGTATTATAAATAATTTACAAATGAGTTAAAAGATGTTGGGGGGTGTTTGCAAGCAGGAAGCCTGCATGTAAATACCACATAGATATTGTAGAATTCAGTTCTCCCAGCAAAACAGCTTCCGTGTGCATCAGTACAGCTGTGCCTGCTTGCAAGAGTCCATCCCAATGGGGCCTGTGGACTGTTGACACTTGCTTGTAGGAGGTGAGAAAGGTCACTGGACTCTCACCTGAGATTCTAACCACTACCCACCTAGCCATCTGTATGTAATTCTTCCCTAATTGCATTGTGGCCTCCAAGGCTTGGGAGGCTCTAGGGTATACAGACTGGGGGAGGTTACCCGAAGCAGGGTCCAGCTATGGGGATGTAGGGAAGCCATCACGCACACTGCGTATAGAGTATCCAGTGTGGCTGCTGTCTGTAACCACTCGCCCATGCTCTGTAAGTAAACCCTATAAACCGATTGTTTGCTCAGCGGGAGCTTCAGGAGAGTTGTTCTGGGGGTTATCCTTACGACGCAGGAGGAAGAGGTAGACACTGTTTGTGTCTCCCAGGGAAGGAATTCTCACGACGGTGTTTTTGAGATAGGGTCCCACATTTTAGGCTGGCCTTGAGCTCATGGTCCTCTGGCCCTAGTCTTCCATGTACTGGGCTTACAGATGTGTACACACACCCACTCAGCTTCCACGCTATTTTGTAGGAGAGACTTGAGCTTCTGTAGAGTTAACGATTAATGGGGTTGGCTCTGAGATCAGTTCCCTTTGGATATTGAGGGACAATTGTGAGTGGAATTTTTACACCAGTAGCAACCCTGGTGCACCGTGGAGCTGGGATTCAGTCTCTGCTCACCAGTAGGCAGTTTGTGAAGCAGCCAAGATTCTGACACTGAAGTCAGAGAACTTGGGCCGATTCCGACTGTGCCGTTAACCAGCTGTGAACTTGGACGTGCTACCGAACTGCCCTGCACCTCAACTACCTCAGCTTTACCAAAGGATGGCCCTGAGGATAAAGGAGCTAATAAATGTTAAGGCGCTGAGGTCCTTCCTGGAACACATTAAGCCCTGTTGAAATACCATTTCCTGGGGACTAACTGGATAAAGTCCCTCTCATGCAAGCATGAAGACCAAGAGTTTGGATCCCCAGAATCTGAAGTTTAACCATGTAGCTGACCCCTGTAATACCAGGTTATCTAGACTATCAGGAGTTGGTGAGATAATCTACCTCCTGACATCAGCTTTGGGCCTCCACATACACACACACACACACACACACACACACACACACACACACACACACACACCACATAAAAACATGCATGCACATGTACATACATATTCGTTATATATGTGTGTGTGTAGCACATGTATATGCATGTATGTGTGCATGCATCTGTGAATGTGTGTGTGTGTGTGTGTTTGTGTGGGGTGGGGGGCAGAAAGATGGTCACCAACTGGGGTGTTTGCTGCTAAACCTGGTGACCTAAGTTCTATCCCTGTGACCCACATGATGGAAAGAGAGAATTGCTTCCCACAAGCTGTCCTCTGACCCCCACACACGTGCCATGGCACATGCAGACATGCACATGCCAACAATAAACAAATGTAATAATAATAATAAAATAAAAAATTTAAGTACCATTTTCTGTAGATAGAGGCATAGGGAAGGATTGGGGTCGATATTGCAGATGAGGTGGAGGAGGCCAAAGTCGACATGGCCGGCCCTCCTCATGTCGTCTTCACATTTGGGTGTAAGTGGTCTCCTCAGCAGTGCTGGGCATCCCCTGGAACGTCTCTCACCTACACCGGAAGAAGAGTGATTACATCCCTCACCATGTGAAAAACACAGGAACAGCAGCCATGGCCAGACTCTGTCTCCCGAAAGCCTAGGCAGCACTGCTGAGGAATTCAGCATACCAAGACCCCGGCAGATGGTGAGATCCCCTGGAACATCGCTGTGAAATTTCGGGAGCTTTGTGGACCAACAGCCTTAGAAAACCCAGTGCCTGACCTCTGCCACCCTCTCCCTCAGCCTGCGCCATCTCTCTCCTGAGGATGAAACTGTGAACATTATTTTTAAATGCAATAGGTGGAACTGTCAATCCAGTAAAGGAAACAAGCCCATTCAGATTAACAACTGCTCATAAGGAATCTGCTTGCTGCTGCCGGGTTAGATAAATGCCAACCCAAAGCTAGAGAAACCATGCCAATGGCACATGCCAGTTCAATTATTTTGTCCTCACTCAGCCAAGTAATTGACGTCTGAGCATTTGGCCTGGTGGGTGTGGGCAGAAGAGGAATGGTTTCTCCGCAGGCTGGACTAGCATAATGGCCAGTTTCGGGACTGGGGAGATTAACAGGGTGGGGGGGGCGGGGTGGAGTCCAGCTCCAGCCCTCCTCAGGACATGAACATAGGATGGCCATCCACACAGGATCAGAAGACAGACCGTCCTAGGTTAGTTACTCTCAGTCTTCTCGCTGAAGTCTCTGTACCCCAAAGCTGCCACTTTACGTCTTTACATTCTCAGTGCGGAATCCACAGAAGCCACACCGCACACCGTGCTTGACAGAATCAAAACTGGGTGGTGGTTCCACCCCACCCCACCCCATGCCACGCCGTGTTAGCAGAAGTAAGATACAATGATGGCAGTAATCATCGCTAAAAAGCCCATCGTTACCTGATCGATTGAGCACCCCAGCTCATTCTCTTCTACGACCTTGATAGCTAGATGGTTATTTAATGAAGGATTTGGAAGTGCTGTTACGCATTCGAGCAACATGAGGGAACGTCTCCTTCAGACGCCTGTCGCTTGGTGCAGTGGTGAGAATTTCTGAACAGCCAATCAAAAAGGATTGATTAGTACAGCTAATCACCGTGCAGGAAGGTAGGCTTATAGACTAACCTGAACAAAAAGGTGGATTATCCAGTGAATAATCACCGTGCAACAAAGCCCAGACATTTCAAGCCTGTCTCTGTTCAAAATTGCGCTATGTTTAACATAATTAATACTGAAAGACTTACTGATAGGAAAGTCCTATTTGTTAGTCAAAAGTCTTTATGAAAACAAAAATCTACTGCTGAGACGGAGAAGCATCAAACCCTCTTGCCGTTCTGGGTGTTTTCATGGGCTCTCATCCGGCAGCTGACAACGGCCTGGCTGGGCTCTGCCTTACTTTGATGGCAATTCAGAACGCCTCCACACCTGACATCCCAACAAATTATTTTTTCCTGACAGTAGATAGTACAATGCATTATTCAACAGGACCCACACAGTTAGTAAAGAAAAACATGCCCTGTGGGTGTTTTAGAACTGAAAGGGACTTTTGATGGCTTGCTGCTCAAATACACAGAGTTAAAAAATAAACCCTTTCCCTGGGTCATTCAATTAATTAGGGGCAGACCCAGAACACGAAACCAGGTTTTCTGAACTTAGAATTGGTTTTACCTGACATCAAGATGAATGTGTGCCTTGTAGGGAACACATGTGAATCACCTTTTTTTTTTTTTTTTAACTTATTTTGTAAATAGCAACAGACAAATTTAATTTGTTTTTCTGGACATTCTCAAGTTCAAGTTCCAGGTTTCTCAGGAGACTCCTCAGCTTGTGTTCTAGGATGGAGTGAAAAAGTCAAGCAATTTTGACAAATCTGAAAGAGACTCTGGAAACATCTCTAGAGTGCCCTGGTGGCTGTGGGAACACCATGATGCGCCACTGATTTGTGACTCACAAACTTGGAGAGCTTTGACAAGGAGATGTTTCAGTGTGGGACAAGGGAGACAGATATACTTGCAAAAGATTTTTAAATTGCATGTGTTGGGGGACGGGGAGAGGGAAAAGGGGAGAGAGAGAGGGGGAGGGAGGGAGGGAGAGAGAAGGAAGTAGGAGGGCAGGCAGAGACCAGAGGCCCACTTTGTGGAGTTGGTTCTCCCTCCTGGGCCTTGAACTCAGGTCTCCAGGCTTGCACAGCAAGTACCTTTACTCACTGAGCCATCTTGCTGCTTTCAAGACTCATTCTTTACCAGGGAACACCCAGAAAAGTGAACTCTGTGAACGTACTTATTAATTACACAGCACGCATCTACTGGGTATTAACTATGTTCAATGTACTACATCTTTCATGAAAAGAATGATCAGAGACATGGGTGGGGTGGGAAAGGGATTGGAGAATAGGGACTATGATAGGAATACACCCATTGCCTTTGAGTCTTAAGTTAGGTGCGCCAGAGAGCTCAGGCAGGTGATGGGCAAGGCACCTAATTCCAGGGGCAGAGGGTAGATGGAGCTAGTTTTCTTTGTGTTTTCAATTATAAGTAATTGCGGTGGAAATGCAACTCATCTACCTCTTAGGATTTCCAGAAACTTCCAGAAAAGTGCTGTATACATCCTAAACACATGTTCAATATTTTTGAGAAATGCACACTAATGAATTGGTGAGAATGATTAATAGCATGTATTTACAGAGTTAGGTGATTTCCCCAGTTAAGGATGACTTTCCCCTAGCAGGGCGACATCACTTTGTTTTAACCATGCTCTGTGGGCGCTTAGTTACTTTTCTATCACTGAAACTAAATACGTGACAGTAAGAACTTCAGGGAGGAGCCGTCCACGTGGACTCATGGTTCAGGGACCATCAGGATGGTGGGAAGCACATAAAGGGTGGGGCAGACGCAGACCCCAGTGCAGTGGGAGGAGCTTAAAGATGGTCACACTCGCACCGGAAGACGGGAAAGAGACTTCTGCCAGAAGCTGGACTATGTAATAGCTTCCAGGTCCTCGCTGAGTGGCTTATACCTCAGGAAGGTCCTGTGTCCCAAACACGCCTCACAGTCTCCCCAAGCAGTGCCTCCAGCCAGGGACCAACTGTTCAAACACGGAAGTCGATGGGAGGCACAGCTGATTCCAGCCACAACAGTGCACAGGTCAGTCACGACACTGGACGGGTCAGTCCCTTCTTAAATATACGTTATTAAACATAATTTTACACTGGCTATTTAACTTTGTACAGTTGTAGCTTCTGATTTTCCACAGGCTCTCACTATGTTGCCCTGGCTGTCCTGGCACTCACTGTGTAGACCAGGCTACCCAGAGCTCTGCCTGCCTATCTCCTGGGGACTGGGGTTTGAGGCTTTTGCAGTGAGAGCTATGGCCTCTCCACCACCTTCCATTCCCTCCTTACCTTAACTTCTCACGTGAGCGTGAGCTAAATAAGGCTAGACATCTGGACCGTGAACAAGGGTGATGTGGCCCCTTTCTCCGTGGGGCTTCTAGTCTTGTCTGGAACTTAAACAAACCAAAGAAGTCATTCTAAGTTGAGGACCGTTCACTAAAGTAAACTGTGAAGATAAAGGGCATTGAAGGAGGTGTGGCATTCCTAGAGCAGGTGACCAAGAAGTGACCCTTAAGCTACGTCCTGGAGAAGGAACCCTTTGTAAGGAGGATGACTTGTTGTCTTTGGCAGCTCATTCCGTCCCACTTTCCCCACCATCTCTTGCTTCTGTCATTCATGATGGATCAAAGAACGGCTAACAGCTGCCAGCAAGTATTGGAAACACATGCTTGTTAAATAATTTATCTCTTGTTTGCAGAAAACAGAGATGTTGCTCCCAAGGGAATTGGGAAGGTTTTTTTTTTTGTTTTGTTTTTACTGGGTGGAAAACACATTGGTTTTATAACAGCTACTTAGCTTGTTCTTTACCACTAGTTGGAAATTATTAATAAAACTCACTAAGTGCAAAGGATGGGGGGGGGAATAAAATAGGCACAGTGCATGGTCTCTTCTACATTAGCAAGTGTGCTAGGCCAAGTAGAATGGGTTGTGCTGCAATAACAGTAATCCCAGAATTTCAGTGGCATAATAGGATCATAGTTTATTTCTCATACATGTGATTTTTTTCAGTATGGGTTGCTGCTTTCCTAGGTAGCTGGCCTCGAGGAATCTTTTCATTTTATGAGCTAGCCTCTATCCTCAAGGCACAGCAAGAACTGGAGGTCATTCACGATGCCTTTAAGGACCAGTTCTGGAAGGTGTTTACACCATCTCTTCCCTCATAACATTAGTTGGAATCAGACACAGAGGCTGTAACTACAAGGAAACCTGGAAAATGGGATCTTCCTGTGTGTTTAGGAAGAGGAAGTGGCTTTGAAAAAGGCATAGCTGGTCTCCATCCTGGGGAAGCATAACTGTGGCCCAGAAAGTTCTGAAAATATGAGTTCCTTTATTATAGTGGCCAGTGGCAAAGCATTAGAGAAGGGTAAAAACAAAGACGAAAGTTCCGTTGAAAAGAATTTCTTTTCTTTTCTTTCTTTCTTTTATTTTTAATTATTTTTGCTGGAGTGGAGATGAGTTCTTGTGTATCCTAGGCTGGCCTTGAGTTCACTTCTGAAAATGACTTTAAACTTCTGGTCCTCCTGGGCCACCATGTGCCTCAATGCCTGGGTTGCAGCATTGAGGGTCAAACCCACAGCTTCCTTCATGCCAGGCAAACAATCCACAAGCTGAGCTATGTCCCTATCCCTGATTTAAAAAAAAAAAAATTGCTTGAGACAAGGTCTTACTCTGCAGTCTAGGCTTGCCAGGCACTCACCAGGCAGCCCAGACTGGCACCAAACGTATTGGTCCTCCTGCCTCACTCTCCACAGTGGTGACATTGCATGTATGAGTCACCATCCTTAACTTTAGACTGATTAATTTTGGTTGGTCAAAAGGGACAATTAATAAAGGCTGCTCATGAACCAAATTCGACTAGGGATCTTAAAGAATGAATGGGTGTTTGGGTGGTAAAAATAATTAATTAATTAATTAATTAATTAATTAATTAATTGATGTAAAAGGTGGGGTTTAGACAAAAGAACATTAGTGCAGGGTCTGGTAAGAGTAGAAAAGGAAAAAAAAAGAGGAGCAGGGAGGCCAAGTTACCGTAGAGAGGTCTGGGATGCTTAATTTCTCTTAGAACAGAGCAACAGAGAAAGATCAGTAAGTTCAATGGGAAGGAAGCTGACCAACAACCCTCCAGAAGAACCATCATTAGGAATGTGATCCTCACTATCGTGAGGGCTTTCTTGTTAGGGTTCCTATTGCTGTAAAGAGACACCATGACCATGGCAACTCTTACAAGGAAAACATTCCATTGGAGCTGGCTTACCGTTCAGAGGTTTAGTCCATCATCATCATGGTAGGACATGGCGACATGCAGGCAGACCTGTGCTGGAGAAGAAGTCAAGAGTTCTACATTCTGATCTGAGGGCAGCAAGAAGAGAGTCACTGGGCCAGGTTTGAGCATTTGAAACCTCAAAGCCCACCCTAAGTGACACACCTCCTCCAACGAGGCCACACCTCCGAATAGTGCCACTCCCTGGTGACCAAGCGTTCAAACACATGAGTCTAGGGAGGCCATTCCTATTCAAACCACTATCAGGGCCTTGTGCAGACCTTTAGGTGGGAGGTCCAGCATTAGGAGGAATAGTGCATTGGACCAGCGTCAACATGGCAGGGCCTTAAAGGGGACGGGCAGCTCCCCTTTAAGATCTAGAGAGGCAATGTATTAAGATAGATGGCCTAATGTAAAGAAGGAAGAGCAACAGCAGCCATGAACAACATGATGGGGAGGTCTGAAGGAGGAGGGCCTTTGGAGAAACCCCCCCCACAAAAGGGAATGTCTGACTTTTATAAGTTTGGGGGAGCTAATGAGAAGCTCCACATCACATGAATTAATCTACTTGGCTCTGACATGCATGAAGCTAGGTACTAGATAGGACCATAAATTCATCTTATAGCCACTAAAGGGTTGGGCTGCAAGCCCACGGCACGACAAAGCATTTAAACT